CTAATCTCAATGATTGCTTAATAAAGGTATGCTCAACTACCAAGCTAACTTCGCCGAGATCCTTGAAGAAATTTATAAGCCGGTGAACGGTGGAACAGCCTCCGAAGTGGGAACAATTCGTCGTGTTCAGACGCCCGTGCAGTCAATGAAAACGGTTTCAGAATTCGTTGCTGTAATGGTAGAAATTAGGGACACAATATTACCCGAGTTGGTTCGTGTTATATAAGTTCAGAATATAGAATTATTTATGAAATCCAATATTTTGAGGAGACAATTAATTTTATTTTTTCGTGGAAAAGGAACTTATTGATCGTAGGGTGGTCCAACCAACAAGCGATTTTATTACAATCATCAAATTAATCTCGAAAACTATCACTAAACGCGATCATAAAAGAATTGATTACGATAGACATAGAGTGAGCGTGAAAAAAATTCGCGATAAACGAGAGAAGTCGTTAAGCGACGAGAAAAATTTATACAAGGTATTTTTTACGGTACCTTGTGGATTTTAAATTATTCTCTAAATGTCAATCTAATAAATAATTAATAACGAAAAGTTGGAAGAACAACTTGACACAGCCACAAAAGACTACGATTACTATAACGATCTCTTAAAAAAAGAACTTCCGCAATTTTTCGAATATCGCACCCAATTCATTGAACCTATTTTCGAGGAATTCTATCATATGCAACTGAAAATCTATGGTCTTATGCTGGAGCGGATGGACCGATTAGTGGCAACCGGATACTTTGATGTGAATTCTAATGTCATTGATGGATTTGATGAGAGACGTGTTGATATTCAGGGGAAGTTGGAAGCATTAACGCTACTTGGACGACGAGCGAAACTTGAGGAACGACGTAATAGTAATAATAGCGGTGAGGCGTGTTTTTTTTCGAGTAATTGCGTACCTTATGTATTTCTAAAATGTCTTGTGTTTAATTGGTTTTTTGTTTCGTCCTTGCGAGCAGATACACAGATTGAACAATCACGATCAGCTAATTCGAATTCACGACCAACAAGCAGTTCAAAACCAACCAGAATCAGCACGGATGCAGTAGACGAGCTAGAAGAATACAACCACGAAGACGATATGCCACCGCCATACACAGCTTCGCCCACTAATTTGACAAATAGTAGTACTAGCAGAGTTTCCAGTATTCGTAACAATTTCAACAATAATAATAACAATAATAGCAATGCAAGATCATTAGCGACCGCCGCCGCAACCGCCACGCCCAAAAGACTACCACCACCACGTCCACCAACAAAACCAGCCCCCAAGTACGTGGTAGCATTGTATGATTACGATGCGCAGGCGGATGGCGATTTGACTTTTAGAAAGGATGATCGTATTCAGTTGATTGAACGGACTGAGGATAAGAATGATTGGTGGACGGGGAAACTTAACGGTGTGGTTGGCGTGTTTCCAGGTTTTTATTTTTTCATTATTATTTATTTCATTCGTCGTTATTCAAAATCTAATTTAAAAATCTTTAGGAAATTATGTTGAAGAACTTTGAACTAAGCAAGCAATATCCAATATTACCATTTTTTTTTTGATCAACGAACATTTAACGCTAATTCAATTGGAATCCTTATAATTAAGCCATTAGATTAATAAACGCCAAATTGAAATGCAGTTGTCGAAATGATTTATATATTATTTGTATTATACATAACTATAATTAAACTTAATAAAATAATGTTGTCTAAATTTTATCTGGTTATTTTATTTAGCATTCATTGTTCATTTGGGATTTGATTGAAGCCACCTACACAAAACAAATTGGTTATTAATGTTCAACTTATTGACAGATCTATGTGATGAAATTACCATCTTGATGCCAATTTATTCACAGATTACTAGCTTCTTACAATACTTTTTATATATATAATATTATTTCCAAAATCCTTTATTTATTCTAGATTTCTAACTATAACATTAAATTAAAAACAAACCTCTCATCAAAATAAAAGAATCGCGAGCTAAATTGCCATTACGAATTCTTCCCTTCCATCGTCAACATCTATATTATTATTATTATTATTATTATTATTATTATTATTATTATTATTATTATTATTATTATTATTATTATTATTAT